GGAGGACAACCTGGACAGGATGCTAGTCCATTGCAGAGTACATGCACATACATTCTCACAAACAGCCATACACTATGGGCAATTTACAAATATCACACTTACAAACAGCCATACACTACGGGCAATTTGCAAACATCACACTCACAAACAGCCATACACTACGGGCAATTTACAAACATCACACTCACAACAGCCATACACCACGGGCAATTTGCAAACATCACACTCACAACAGCCATACACCACGGGCAATTTACAAACATCACACTCACAACAGCCATACACCACGGGCAATTTGCAAACATCACACTCACAACAGCCATACACCACGGGCAATTTACAAACATCACATTCTCAACAGCCATACACTACAGGCAATTTACAAACATCACACTCACAAAGAACCATACACTACGGGCAATTTACAAACATCACACTCACAAACAGCCATACAATACGGGCAATTCACAAACATCACACTCACAAACAGCCATACAATATGGGCAATTTACAAACATCAATTCACCTAACTGCATTCCTTTGGACTTCAGTTAGAAGATGGATGGATTTCTATGCACATTCTTCTTTAGCCAAAGAAATGAACAAAACATGAAATGTCAATGGAGATTTTTTTGCCTTAAATACGAGTGCTAATACGTTTTATATATTTAAGGTACATAATATATATATATATATATATATATAAACAACTGGTTTAGCCTCAGGACCTATATTATTACCTAGTTAGTAAATCATGACCCAAATTTCACTGTAAAAGTTGTGTACAAGGGGTGCTATTTTATTCATTCATTCATTGCAGGAGACACTTCACCACCCACTGAAAATAATGTTGATCGGTCATTATGAGTCCTTTTGAAATTACATTTAACGGCTATTAGCATAATCCCTGTTTATACATAGTTGTCGTGGACTACGAAGAATATCATTTTTGGGTTTATTTGTATATTGGCAGGACGGGAGCACTGCTTCAGATTTACCAAAAATCGACTTACTTACCGCTACAGTATTAAGAAATCACCCTTTTCCAAGAGCTTAATCCACTGGACTAGTCTTGAAGCTCACAACTTTCTTTCAGGGCTGATTGTAGACTTGATAATTCGTTCCGAATCTTTACATTTTCCCAGCATGTTGCATTTTTCTTACAGGCGGACGTAACTCAGAAAAAAAATATTATTATTGAATTCCTCTTCGTATTTTAAATTCCCACTGAAACTTTTAAACGAGCATCGCATAGGTACTATAAGTTGCCAGCCAATCGCTTTTTTGTTTTTGCTGTTTTACCCTGCTCGTCACCGACTATGGAAACCAGTGAGATTACCGTATATCATTAAGTTTCTGACCGCAAGTAATTGCATTGGTTGAGTATTTTTACATAATTCCAGACAGCAGAGAATTTTATTGAATAGCCAATGTGTCAAACCAATGTGTCAAATATATACTACAATCAATGCAGTGCTTTTGCTTCGCAGTCTCTGATTTTGGTGCACTAACAATTGACTACTGCGCTTATATACAAATATTTAAGGTGCAAAGAATGGAGTGTCTCTAAGTACTTTGCACTACAGGGGGGTATTCCACAAAACAGAATCTCTCAGTTAGCTGGATTAACTTAAGTCATGACCATGATCCAATTGGAATGCTCTGTACTTAAACTCTTACTGGACGATCATGACTTTTTTCTTAAATTAAGCCAGCTAACTGAGAAATTCTGCTTTGTGGAACACCCCCCAGATTAAGTATATAGCATTTTGATCCGGAATTGCCTATCCCCGAAAAATATCCGTTACGGAATCGGTTATAATATACCTTCCTGCTAATGTCATATCAGCCAGTATACCTGATTGACGGATAAGCATTACGTTCTTGCTTTCGGCCGTTTTTAGTTGTTTCACCCCTCAATTCAATTTAAACTGGTGCGTCAAAAACACGCTTCAGCCACCCAGGGGCGTCAGAAGCATTTTGAATGTGGGGTGGACACACTGGCATAAAACTAATATTTTATGTTAAATGTGGGGGGTCCAAACGAATAATTATGAAATGTGATATATATTTAAGTAGCCTGTTAGTTGTATCAACATCTACTAAATAAAAGTAGGGCTGCATTTCAAAATAAGAGAAAATAAAATGTGAAAATTGTGCATGTTTAAATAAAGTTCTTAACTTAAGCCGCAAAACCTTAATACAGTCGTGTCTATATCATATATTTTAGTGTTCATGGATTTAAGTATTGTCTTTCTATGATCCCACACCGGTAATAAAATTTAAGTCTCGTTTTAATAAAAATACATAGGGACTTATCACTTTAATCGCTGTTACAGTAGGATATGGACGGTCTTATTATTTCGAAAAGATATAAAACGTGACGTGTTTTTTTATGTTTGTCGGAGTAACAACGCAAACGGAATGACGAGCCGTTTCAGGCGAAAACAGCGCAATTTACTTTTTATTTCAAATAAAACGCGGGGTTGCCAACTTAATTCGGCCAGCTGGCTGGAGTGAGATTTTAAAATTCAAGATGTCTGCAGACATGTAACAGTTCTTACTCAGTAAATAGTCTGCTTCTGTATTTAACCGTGTAAATGCACTTTGGACGTCGCTAATTTTACGTTTATAATGGTATAATATAGATTTTCCGTAAGATTTCCTGCGTGAGTCTGAAAGAGTGAGTCTCATGCCAGATGCTTGAGATTTGGCAACCCTGAAAACGTACATTTTTTGTTTCACCTGAGTTGATTTATATAACAAATAACATTACTTTATATAGTTGTTAAAAAGCGGAGACTTCAACAAACATGAAATCACCAATAAACTACGCCTACAAATATTTATTTTAATATTTCTATTTTAATATTCAGAGAGAGCAGGCCCGGTGGCATTATAGCCTATGCACTTTGAAGTGATTTTATTTTTGCACTAATGGCACGACTGATTTTACAGTACTGCACAATCAGACCTTAATACCATCCCTTAACATTGGTTTCATTTCATCTTCAACTTGTGTGGTACAAAAGACTCACAAGTGAACCTGGAGCCTGGCCTAGAAAGAACCATATACTGTACATAGACATAGACCACATACCACCTGTCTGCCACTGGGCACACACTCACTGCAGGCAGTTTAGAGACACCTCTTAACCTAAACTGCAGATATATGGAAAGTAGGAGGATTCTCATTGAAATACATAGAGAGCATCATTCTATATATCCTTCAAGTAATAATGATGACGATAACCACAATATCACAATGAGGATGATCTAACATTGTCATTAATATTAATGTTTTATTAACAAGGCCTACGAAGATTTTCTCTGTGATTGTACCTTCACTTACAATGGCTGTAGGAGGGTCTGCAGATGTGTTGGTTTGTTCTGTCACAGATTCTCTCCATTCTAATGAGCCCTTCTAAAGACCAGATCAAACATCGCAACAACTTTGTTTGTTTTTAGCAAGTCAAAAATCTACACAGACGCTGACTGCTGTCAGAGAGGAGGTACAAAAGATAAAAGACATAAGCTATTTACAGACACAAAATATATAAAGAAAACATTACGTGAAGCTTAAAATGCAAGATCTAACAGTGCAAAGGATGAAGGTCTATTTTGGGATTGCTAACAAGAGTGATACATCTGAAAGTCCCTACAGAGCAAGCATACTGGAGAGACAGGTCCAGAACGACACCCTGCAGATTTCTCACTAGTGAAAAGATGCTTTTTTAACTGCAGCAATAAACAGTGCAGGCAGGGTGGGGAGAGAGGAGTGAAAACCATTCAAATCACATTTGTTAATTATAAGTAAAGGAAAAGGAAATACTGCTGAATGTTAGAAAGTACTCATACGTACTCATACGTGGCTTGCGTGATTCCACCATATTTCCTTAAGTGACTTAAGTTAATTAGACCAAACATTATCTATCTAATCCTGATCCTCCCTCTGTTCCGAAGTCACACTCAGCTAAACAGTGTGTGCACAGTTAAAATGACACAATGAGTACCTGCTACAAGTAGGGAACTCAGTCTCCTGAACATAACCTGTGGAGTTTAATGTTTGTACTTTTTTTTACCTACTCCAACCTGTTGTTAATATACAAAATCTACAAAATTAAGCTTATTATTTTTTCTTTACAGAAATCAGATTAGTCTTAATCATAGTATCTATGGCGCTTGTGAATAATGAGAGAAATGCTAACAGATAACAAAGACGGAGCACAATGGATTTTTATTCAGGCCTCTGTTATTAGACACTTCCCATGCATAGAATAACATGAGAAAAAAGAGAAAGAACCATCAAGGACGAGAAAGCATGCCCCACCTCCCTCTTTCGCTTAAGCTCTACTGAGTGAACCTAGAGGTTGTTGCCATAGAAACACATCTTTCCTGGTCACCATGGCAACTGTCTCCTATATCACACAAAAAGGGAGACAAATGGGATGTTTTGGGCTACTAAATAAACATCTAAACCCTTGAACCGTTCCCATAAAACCATAGATTAAGATTAAGATTGATAAAGTTTAGAAGAAAATCTTTCAAAGTTAGCAAAACACCTAATCTCACGTAAGAAACAATAAATGAATGGAGCAGAACTGAATAAAAATCATGTCACCTGTAAATAAAATGGGTACAGAGCCATACATTGTCGTATGTCTGAGGAACAAATAAACTGCTGTTAAAAGATCAAACTCCACTAAACACAAGCTCCAAATTCTGTATTTGTTTCTTCATGGGGCACTTAGGTCTAAACCATTGGTCTGGAAATATATTCTTGCACTGCTGAATCCCAGTGTGAGGTTTTGCAAAACATTAAGGTTGCAGTGCATCAGGTGAAGATATAAGATCCCGCAGCATGTGACTGACACTTGACATGTACATACATATTTTTCTTTTCTTTCAGGGGTGACCATGACTAGGGTGTGGGATGCCACATTCACACCGATCCACCTGCGCAGGTGTGGAACGAGGCAGAAACAAGTCCGGAGGCAGCCTTTCCGTCAGATATTTAAGAAAAGAACTTTATTTGTGATTTATAAACAACACACATTACCACAGTGTCCATTAAAATAAAAAGTCACTATGCCACCATTACAGCTGATGAGCAGGTGTACAGGAAGGTTTGACGCCTGTCCCGCACGGCCACAAGATAGATGGCACTGCCATATACGGGTATATACACCAAGCAGCATGGCAGAGGTGTTCACTAAACACTAGCATACATTACATATACATTGTTTACCATTGTGTTTTTTTTTTTTTGTTTTATTTTGTTTTCCAAAAGGGAAGAGAAAGGCAGGTTTTATAAGCGCATACATAGTAAAGTTACACGTTACAGTGTTAGTAAGATCATCATGTCAAAAAACACAAAATGAGCCTCTTCCTTTTCTTCTCAAAGCAAATTAAAATGATTATTAAAAAAAAAAATAACAATGCGTTTGAATGCATCATTCTACAGCATACATATATCTAAGTTAGCTGAAATCAGTCAGAGAAACACTACATGATTCCTGTGTGTGTAATATGTAGACATTGTTCAGAAGACAATACATACATGTACCTGTCCATTGGTTAACGGGGAGGAGGGAATTAACCCAGTAATTTCCAATAAAAACCAGCGCTATCTCTTTCTATATATTCCGCTATATTATGTGTTTTCTTTGATTACAACATGCAAGAGCCACATGGTCATGTGACAGGACTGATCTGTGAAGTCTGGGAGTGTCTGCAAGCACACTGGAGATGCAAACCAATAGCTGCAGAGCACACACGTCTCATCCCATTGTGGGAGTGGTCATTACAGGCAGAAACACTGTCCCTTCTATTTGTGGGAGCAGATCAAAAAACAGATTCACAAAAGAGGCCGTGCTTGAGGATAGTGGATAAAAGGTTAACAAGTCTTAATTAGCAAATATGCTGTCCTTCAAACTCGCAGTGCTGCCCCCTGCTGTTAGCCTTCACATGTGCAAGTAATGCCAGACATAACTGCTCCTTTGGAGAGGCCTTGCCCTGAGATACAGGGCATGATTAGCATAGTCCGCATAGTTACAGGACCTGCCATGGTGACATATATAGGTGTACAGCCCTCTCCAGAACACTTGTAACATTAGCGCACCACGCTGAGAGCACCCTCAGTGAAGCGTTGGTTTCCTGTGGCCACAACGGCTGGCTTGTTCTCCCTCTCCCAGGAAGTGTCCGTCATGTGAGGGGGCAGGTGGGAGAGAGAAGCACTCGGGAAAGTGACCAGGTGTCCAAGGGGAGGCGGGCTGCCTCTAGCCTGCTAACCAAACAATCCCTAAACGGCAGCCAAACAGCCAGAGACAAGGGAAAGCGTTCAAAGAGAGTTTAAGCAGCTATGAGAGGAATTATTACTGAACACTTCAAGCATATACAGGAATCAGACGAGTGCCGCAGACAGACAGGAGTAACATTCTTAGTTTACACCAAAGCCCACAACATGGCCACGGGCTTGTTAACTTAGACTTGATTTTCCATCATCCTAAGAGAAAAGAAATCTTCTGGTCACTTCCTTGGATTTTTATTACTGATATTTTTTAAAATATTTTGTTTCCACAAAAAATGTTAAGAGTAAAAATCTAACTAGAAACTTCCCTTCCACAAGGCTGCTAATGTCCCCTCACCGCGAAAGAGCGGCATGTCCCCCTTCCTGGAAGATTGAGCCAGAGAAGGCATTTGTGTCGTGGTTCTTTTTTGGCATTTTAACCACTGCCTGTGTCCAACAGGATCCAATTGACTAAAGACAGGTGGCGTGTAGCTGGAGTCCAGTCGAAATATTCAGCACTTGTTTAGGTAAGAAGGAGTCTAGCTTATGGTAGGAAAGGTTTAGTGTACAGTTGATGCAGGAAAAAATGTATTCTGGGTGTAAAGTCGGTATAGTTTAGGTGTGATTTGTTTCTGTGGCAGGAACGTCGTGCTACAGGAGAAAAGGTAATGAAGGGAGGGTGTAAAATGGAAGCTGACTCAGTCCAGGGAGGTCAGTTTGGATATTGATTCATGTAGGATGGGTGACTATCATAGATCGCTACTGGGTAGTTGGCATAGATTAGGATTAGGGTTTGAGTATAATACGACTCTTTTATCACCACCTTAAATACTGCTAGTGACAAGAAAATTATTTGTGTCAGTTCCGTTTCGTTACTATGCAGAAAAATCACAAATTACCAATAACTCTTATTTAATCTTTCCTGTTTTTTTGCACAGACTGATTATCTTTCAAGAGACAGGAGGGAGCTGTTTGCCAGATTTGATATGCTCTCCCTTAATGCGAATATGACACGAACGCCAGCATAGTAGAGACTTCCTGAACTTCTGGAGAGCCATTGCAATTGAGCTGTTGTAACAATTTGGACTCCAGGTTCCTCTGAATGAGGAATATGTGCTTCATAGGCAAAGGCTGGAGTTTATCCCCCCCCCCTCACCCCAGCCCAACCCTGAGGCTAACAACCCAACAAAGGTGCTCATCAGTAATGACCTCTACTAATCAAGGAAGAATCATGTTATAGGGGAAGGTGCTATACTGCGGTGGTGGATCTAGGATGATCTGCGATCTGTTTGACAACATGCCCCAAACTAGCTTAAGAACTGAAGCGCTGGTGAACGCAGAATTGCTAAAGAGGAACCAGTCTGTTTTTACTTTTAATTTCGATTCTCTTTGCTTCTATTTTTTTGTCTTGCTGTTGGGGCTTTTGTTGGCTGTGCTTAAAGACACACCTTCCTTACTGCTCTGTATCATCTCTCCCTTTCTCCTTCTTTTCCTTGCCCTTCTTCTTCTTCTTTTTCTTCTTGGCCTCGTCCTTCTTGTCGTCCACCTGGTCCGGGCGAATGGAGATGATGGCACCGGAACCCGGGATGAGGAAGGCTTCAGGAACCTCGCCGGGCTTCATGTGCTGGGGGACACCGGGGCCGGGGCCGTAGCGGAATTGCCAGCTGTTAGTGTTCATCCCGGCACCAACTGAAGGGGACACCTCACCCCCCTCAGCATCTGATGGGCAGGGAGAGACAGAGAGAGAGGAAGAGAGAGAGTGACGTGTGCAAACCTGTCAAGTATTAATAGAATAGAATAAAACAGCAGTACTTTATTTACTCCCGTGGGGACACTGGGTACTTTTGCATATCCCACCTTACTCTTCATGCGAGACAAACACACATACAGAGCAGTGCTGCTTATATCCAGAGGTGGAAACTTCAGGTCCAGACAATACAAATCCAGGCCAAGATTTTGCTTCAACCAACCAGTTGAATACTCTGTAACTGTCACTCTTTATGTTAAACTAGCAGGTTGAAACAAAATCTTGGTCTGGATTTGCCCTTTCTGGACCTGAACTTTCCGCCTTTAGTTATAACGTACTTTCCTGCTTATTTAGATTGATTCCCTCTGAGTAATTAAAAGAACTAATGATCTCAATATAATTACAAAAAATACTGCATAGTAATTACCATGACCTTAAGAGAATCTTCATTAACCACTTATCCAGTATAGGGCTGTGATGAGCCAGACTGCCAGGAAGCACAGGACAGGGAACCCCTTGGAATGGGATGCCAGTGCATCTTACACCTCACATTAACAACAGTCCCGAGATACCAATTCAAATGACTGTACAAAGACAGACAGAACAGGCGAACTACACGCATAGAGACGTGGGAAGGATTTACACCCTTTACCCCGTAGCTATGAGCCCAGTGCTGCCCACTGCAGCAAAGTGCAGCCCCAGGCGTGTGACATACTCTTAAAGAAACCTAAGATATCGCCTTGCAGTGCATCTGCTGACTGATAAATCCATTCAGTGCAAAAAGTGTTCGCGGCTGCTCCGTTCCCAGATGTCCGACAGTCCATCTGGTTACAGGCATGACGAGAAGACAGAGCAGAAAACAGCGGGGAGGAGCGATAAGCAAGACCGGGAACCTTCACGCTGAGTCTGATAAGCAGGAAATCACAGGGGCCACTATGCTGTGGTAAAGAATCCATGACCGCATTAACTCTACAGTAAAGTCACATCAAACCCCATCCCCTTTAGCAAAGGCCACAGGAGAATCAGAGCGCTTAGACAAGCAGAGGCTACGCTTTGACTGGGAGATAAATAAATGCATTCTGGCATAGATTAGCCCATCTATGTGACCGGGTATGACATCAGACCCTGGTCACATGATGAAAGGGGTTTGATGACTCTGTACAGCAGAACGTCATGCGAAGGACCTGAGAGCAGCACATCTGGATTACAGAAGAGCCTCAGAGGGGCCAAGGTTGGAGTCAGAGCCACTATGACTTGCACTATGACATACAGTGTTAGACAGCTACAGTGCAGGTGTAGCCTGGACGGCTAATAATTGCCCATTCTGTCTGTCACCATGGTGTTTGAATTTAGGTATGGCGGTTTGAATTTAGGTATGGCGGTTTGAATTTAGGTATGGCGGTTTGAATTTAGGTATGGCGGCCGATTATTGTTAACTCTATAGACTATTACAATACATTTTTTAAGTGCTAATATAGAAAGTCAATATGATTAACTGGTCTGTGAGTTATAATGTAGATACCCACAGGACTTTTCCGAATAACCAAGATTTTTGGTCATCTTGTTTGTAACGGCAAATCCAGCTGTGTTGTATAATTATTATTTCTGGGAAAGCTAATGTAAACTGCGTCATCCAATATGTTACAGTTTTCTGTAAATAAAATATATGCTAATTATGTGTACAAGCAGTAATGTATCAGGGACCAACAACCATTATAGTTTCTTACACACTTTCTATTGTAGAGATGCTGGAATAATTGCCTTTTGTTCTCATTCCTTGCTGATTCTGTTAAGCCCACCTCCCTCTTCCTTCCCCCCTTACCTGTCCTCTCCAAGGCAAGTGGGACGACGGGCATTCAGTCAGCCAGCACTAATATAACCTGTTGGCACGACTATTTCATTTGTACTGTATAAATCTGACTGTGTGACTGTTATATTTATATGCACTAATGTAACCGAGATGTAAAACTGGTCTGTCTGAGTGCTAATGTAAGTACACTGTCTGGCTGTTCTGTTAATGTAAACCTGCTGTGTGATTACCCACAGGTACAGGTGCTGCTTTACGGTAAGGCTGCAATAAAAGTATGACAGAGAATCCTGTCCTGCACAACCTCATCAGCCTGAAACAATGTATCCTTCTGCATCTCTCTGATTCAATACCCTGTCTATTCATCCTGCCTCTTGCTCTAATTCTAATTCATTTCTATGATGAGAAAAATGCTTATGATAAGAACATAAGAACATAAGAACATAAGAACATAAGAACTATACAAACGAGAGGAGGCCATTCGGCCCATCGAGCTCGCTTGGGGAGAACTTAACTAATAGCTCAGAGTTGTTAAAATCTTATCTAGCTCTGATTTAAAGGAACCCAAGGATTCAGCTTGCACTACGTTATCAGGAAGACTATTCCATACTCTGACTACACGCTGTGTAAAGAAGTGCTTCCTTAAATCCAGTTTGAAATGTTCTCCCGCTAATTTCCAGATACCAGAAAACATGTACAATTCAAATAAAAAAAAAAATTTAACAAACTATTTTACAATGATATTGAAAAAATAAAGTGTTAAAATAAAAATGGAAGCTATTGTGCATGACTTTGCCTTGGAATGATTTGCCTCCTTGTGGGCATGTTCACAATGGTTGTGTGCAGTGTAATTTATGTTACACAGCTTAATTTAGCTTACGTTTGTATGCTGCTCTCTTGAGCTTGCTTGCAGTTTCAGAGGATTACATGCGCCTTTCTCTGGCTTCAGCCTGTGCATTACAGAGCATGCTATTGTGTGGGGATGGTAATTGTTTTGGTGTATCTATGATATAAATGCATTCTACATCATAAACCTAAATTATAAACAGTTTTTTTTCCATCCGTCCATTTCCCGTAACGTCTTATTTAGTACAGGGTCTTGATAATCCTAGAGTTTGTCCCAGGGAGCAAAGGGCACAAGGTATGGATGTGATTCCAGTGCCTCACTGGCTACATGCACATACACGCAATCACACACTATGGACAAACACCAGTTCATCTAATCACAAGCTTTTGACTGACTGCTGAAGTACCCAGAAAAAAACCTGAGCAACACTGGGAGAACATATAAACCCCACACACTGTGCTCCCTAAGGTAAAATCCACCCCCCCAAGACCCTGATCATAACAGGATGGATATATTGTTACATATCTCCCCCCTCAAGAATGCAGAGCTACCCACTGTTACCACGCTGCCCTTAAATAAGAGTTCCCATCATTTTCTTCACGCGACGATTTTCTTTTTCACGCAGAACTCTTTAGGCCAGTTAGTGCTACGCATGGCTTCGTAACTTACCCATAACCCGACCCCTTCTTACACGATCAGCCTCAGAGCTTTGCCGTTAGACACATTTCCAGTGCAGTCACACGGAAACAGAACGGGAAAGCCATTATCGGGGGGGAGGGGGGGGAGCAGGCAACAGGAGGCCAGAGCAACTGAAGGACGAGTGAAGGGTGCCGCACACTGATAATCTTCTCCATTATGTTTGCCGACTCCTCAACCTTTCTGGCAGTGTCACAGCAGACCAGGCTGCCAGATTATCAGTATGCTGCTCCGCCCTGCCCCAGCCAGATGAGCATCACTCCTCCTGCTCTCAGCTCCACGTGCCACTGCACAGGCACGTGGCTGAGGGCCAGAGCAGCACACACTCCCCACACAGCTGTGCGCGACTTCATATCAAAGTGACCAAACTTAGCCATTAGCTACTGAACACAATGTGTGATCTCGCGACCAAATACATGCATGCGTTTCGGCTCTCGGCCGTAAAGAAATGGCTGAGTGCATCAGCGAGTGTGCCGTTTGTTAAATAAGCTTCATGAACCTCATGGAGCAGCATGAACACACAAAAGTAACCAGTGTAAAAATTATGCACCATAGCCGCTGGCTAACCCAAATCTTAGCATAACCCTAACATCAGGAAAAAGAACTGCAGAAAAACACAAGGGATCAAGCTTCAGCCCCCTTTAACTGGTCTTTCAGAAATTGCTGCTGTGCTTTACTCCTTATTCTTGGCCTTCATCCCCTGCAGTTATTCATTTCTTCTCCATGAGGCGAGACTGAGCCCCCATAATTTGCATCTGTGGCACTTAGCACTCAAAGATGCAGTTATAGAGGTGTGGCTCGACATTATGGAGACAAAGGGAGCTTTTTCTGAGTCTTGCAAAATATTGCTTTTGTTTGGGCTTTAGCAGACAGTAAGTTTTTTTGTCAAAATTTGTAAGCCACAAATGAGAGAGAACTGTTAAATGTTATTTACTAAGTGAAGAAAAACATTGACTGACAAGAAAAAACATAAAGACAAAAGTTACATGAAAAGATTATCATACTATAGAAAAAAGTCGATCTGATTATGAAAAAGATTTTTCTTGGACTTCTTCTTCTGGAAAGTCTAGGTCTCCATAATTGTAAAGCCCCTAACCATATGCTGCCTGGGATGAGCTCCGCAGCCCCTCGCGGCCCCCTGTCCAGAAAAAAATAGTCAGAATGCAGATAGATGGACCACCAGTCCAGTCGACGTGATTAGAAGAGTGTGGGTTCAATTACCAGATAAAGCTAGCAGGCTACATTAGAAGTCAGATTATCAGTAAGACAACCAGATTAGCAGGTTACTGAAGAGGGCAGAGGGACGATGTATGAAATGCAGGAACAAGATGACTTTGAGACCATCGCGCTTCATCCCTAGTATCACACCCTTCATATCCTTTAATCAACACCAGTGTCTGGGACAAGGAGAGAAGGACTGACTGTCTGATGCTTTATGTTGCTGTCAGAGAAACTGACGATCCCCCCCCTCCCCCCAGCCCCCGCCCAATTCAGGCTGCTTGGTCTCCCTTTGGCGGAGCATTAAAGAACGCCCCCCTCCCTCTCCTAGGAGCTGCACTTCCACAATCCCTGCTGTCCTCTCTTTTCCTCGCTTTCGGTGTGCAGGGCCACACCCAAATACA